TAACAAAAAAAAGAAAGAAAGGAAATGTTAGATCTGGCAGGAATTCTGTTTGTTTTAGTAAGTGTTTATACAGATTTTCACCTTATTCCAAAACGAATTTAAGAAAAACAAAGCCATCTTAGAAACCCTCTCCAAGTCCCTCGTTGAACAGATGGAAAAATCCAAAGAGAGGAAATCATTTGCTAATGTCATGGTTAAAGCTAGGACCTAGTCTCTTTGACATCCTTGTCTAATCTACTAGCTTCTCTATCATAATGAAACAATGTTGTCAAACCCAAATCAAATGCAAGAAAAATATGTTTGCTTCTGATATCTTAGAAATAAATTGTGTATAAATATCTAAAAACTATATTCTTTCCAAGCTATGGATCACTTAATTTTTTTCTTCACTATTCTATAGAATTATATTCCTACTCCCCAATAATCATCAACTTTAAATTATTTTTGAAGGCAGGTTATGGTTTTACCCTAATCATTTCTAAACTTGTTAAGTGAATGGACTCTAGCCTGTTTATTTCATCTGCTTTCAGGATCAACGGAGTTGACTCATTCCACTTTTGACTGGAGTCACAGACAGGCCTGAAATGAAATGGGTTTAGAATGACTTTTGTGTCTTTTTTCTTGAGATCTCTGAAAAAGGATTGTGCTTTGTGTCACAGAAGGCCACAAAAACTTGATGAATACATGAATAAATGAATCACTACTAATGTTCCTCCAGCACTGACAGCTACTAGGAAAATTTATTTTATTTTATTTTCTATCTTTTAGTTCTTCATTACCACCAGGCACACAGACAAAAGCAAATTAAAGAGATTAAATGATTGCTAGCAATCCACGTTGAAACAACAGAACTTGGAATTGAAAACCTATCCAGTTTTCCTAGATATTGCTACCATAGGAGATCAAAGAGTAACAAGTGACAATCAAAGGAAAAGGACCCTCACATGAAAATTAAAAGCTCTTGAAAAAACAAGGGCCTACGATGATCTGATATACATCAGTACGTCATCATCTGTTGATAATATTTTGAAACATCTCTGTATTTGTTATTAAATAATCATACTGAGAGCCACCAAATGTCTGCCAACCCAATGCTCATGTCCCCTCTCCCAATCCCACCCCAGACTTTCCCCAGGAACCCCAGGCAGAGGTTATAGGCCCCTCCAATGCTATGGGGTCCAACCATTGTCCTACTTGGTTTGGGTCTGTGTCTTACCAGTTGTGAAATATCACTCCAGAAACACCCTTGCTTAAGAGATTATCACATCTCACCCTGCACATGTTGGACAGCCAGTTTTCTTCTCCTTTATCTATGAATCCGTGAGTAATAAAGCGTGTTTTCCTATCCGTTCTGAAATTGGAGCCCTGGATAATTGTTGGATCTGCAATTATTTCCTGTTTTAGGGGAGAAAAGTGTTTAATGTCAAGTTGTGTATAGCATCCAATAGAACTATTTGTACATGGTTTGATGTGGGAGGAGAAAGAAGACCCGCAGGATTTGGGATTCTTCTGAGTAAGGATCCTCCCACTACAACCAAGCTATTCACAATCATTACCAAGTTGTTGCTTTCCAGCCATCATGAAATTTTTAGTTGTTTATCCTGGATAACATGTCTGCTATATGAATGGCACCATGGAGGTAGGACAAGAAAAATGTCAAGTTAGTTAAACTTTTCTGAACAAGTTACATTAAATAACACCGTCTCCAGAGTCTAAAAAAACCAAACCAAACTCACTGCCATCGAATCAGATCCAATTCATAGAGAGCCCTCCTTGGGTTTCTGAGGCAGTATCACTGTGGAAGTAGATTGCCCAATCTTCCTTCCAAGGAGTGGCTGGTGGGTTTGAACCACCATCCTTCTGGTTAGCAGTCAAATGCCTTAGGCACTACGCCACCAGAGCTCCCTGTCCAAAGTCTATAAGGATGCATATTCCATTGTCTGATTTGTTCTCTTTAGAAGCCTTGCATATTCAGTTCTCTGCATGACATCAAATAGAGGGAAATGAGTTCTAAAACCCATGAATGCTCTTACTTGAAAGTTGTTTGGGTTCTCGTTGGTGTACAGGAGGAAGCGGGTATTGACATCCTTTGGATCCCAGGGCAGGATTTTGAGGGGTCTTTCTACAATCCCTGCCCACGGGGAGTCATCACTGAAGCAGCCGAGTCGCGGGAAGCAGATTTCTTTTCCTGCAATCACCCAGGATTGTTTCAAGGATATCAGTTTAGCCAGAACACTCTCTTTAATCACCTCTCTGCTGAGCTATGAATTAAATTACATTTTGGGACAAATTTTCTTCTGCCACTTTCCCCAGCACCCTCCCAGCCACACACCACAATACAGCTTCAAAAGACAAAGTCCATGTTCAAGACAGGGCTGCTCTCCTCACGTCTACCATGCAGGGTTGCCTTGCCTTTGTGTCTCTGCTTAGTCCTATGCTAGGGCCCGCCTTGGCCTTTCGGCTGGGGTGTCTTCCTCAGGCCATTGGTGACTGCGAAGAGCATGGCCTTGTGTCCCCTGGCCTCATGGAAGGGATGAGGCTCTCAACTCCTTTCAGCCCCTTGTGGCTTTGGGCTTTGGATGGAGAGTTCAATTTCGTGCCAGGGCTAAAACGTTTTCTGTCCTCTCTGCCTGAGCAGCTAGGGCTCTGATCTGTGTTTGAGGAGCGCTCTGGATTCCTGTGAAAAAGGTGTTCACAAACAAATGAACAGCCCATGGCATGCCAGACTCTATGCTGGACTGTTACCCCACTAAGGGACAACTCAAAAGAAGGGTTCTTAAGGAGGATGAAGTCTGGATTAATAACTGGACTAGGAGTAGTAGCTGTAGTGAGTTACAGCTCTTCCTGTATGCCAGGTACTTGGCAAAATGATTCACGTGACTTATTTAAACCCTGTAACAGCTCTATGAGAGGGATGATATCATTAACTCAGTTCCACAGAGGGGTTAAGAATTTTGCTCATGAATAGACCAAGGGGCACCAGAGGCAACATTCACCCAGAGGTAATGCAGGACAGACAGGAGTGCCTAACTATGAGAGGCACGGGGGAGGGTTACTGGGCAGGGAGGGAAGGAGACAGGGTTAGGGTTGGGGATGGTGAATGGGGAGTGAAACTAAATGTACACGTAATGTTGAATGTAAAACAAACTCTTAAATAAAAATGTTTTAAAAAAATTTTGCTCATGGTAAAATAGTGGTGGGCAGTAGAGCCAGAGTTCCAGCCCCACACTTGACCCCAAGCTAAGGTTGTCATATTTAACAGGCAAAAATACAAAATGCTCAATTAGATTTGAATTTCACATAATTACAAGTATTTTGTAAATGTAAGTATGTCCCATATTTTTATCTGAAATATTTAGTTTCTCTAACAGTCTGTTTAAGTGGACTTCCTGGATTTTATCTTGCAATTCTACTCCAAGTGCCTGCGTTCTTCACTGTGCCTCTTCCTCACTCTACACCTTAGCCTCATGGTGGCTTGAGTTTACCTGTCCTAGCCTTTCTTGAAAGCATTGAGCAGTAAATCGCTCTTAAACCAAAAAAAAAAAAAAAAAAAAAACCAACCCACATTCATTGCCCTGGAGTAGATTCTGACTCATTGTGACCCTAGGACAGATTAGAACATCCCATATGGCTTCCAGGGGGAGCTCTGGTAGCATAGTGGCTAAGATACTTGCCTGCTAACCGGACGGCTGGCGGTTCAAACCCACCAGCCACTCCTCGGAAGGAAGGTTGGGCACTCCTACTTCCGTAGTGATACTGCCTTGGAAACCCAAGGAGGGGTCGCTATGAGTCGGGTTTGACTCGACGGCACATAACAACAACAAGCTTTACAGAAGCAGACTGCCACACCTGTCTCCGGTGGAGTGGCTGATGGGCTTGAACTGCTGACCTTTGGTTTAGCAGCCAAGTGCTTTAACCACTGTACCACCAGAACTATTTTTCTTACCTGTCACTGCCCCCAGCAGTATTGAGAGTGTCCAAATTAGCAGCATCTAAATAAAGTTAAAAAGATGAATGAGTTTTGTCTAAATCCATTTTTTTTTTTTAAGATTGGAACAATTCAAGTACAGTTTGACTTAAATTACTAGAAGGTGGGTAAATTCTAATAAATGATGCCTGGAACACACGTTCCTGACTCACCACGGCAGTTCCGTCCAGTCATGTGCACGATCAGATAACACCTCAACATCCTTTTATAGGCAGACCTTATCTTTTTCAGTAGTTCAGTGGAAAAGTAGCACGAAAGGAGAGAAGGTTCCAAGGGTATTTTTATCCAAGGATGTATTTATAATTTTGATCATAGATAAACCTAGACTAACAGAGAAGGGAAAGTTTGCCATAGTCCATGTGGGAAGATGACAAAAGGCTTGATTGAAAAGTTCTCTTCCAATGTGAATGAACAATGCACAGAGTCACTATAATTTCATTGTAGTGAAGGTTTAGCCTGCCTCTTTTTTTTAAATTTGCAAATCTCTCTGCAGGTCTGTGGGAATGTGTGAAATTAAATTGTTTTCACAGATTTGGTAACAGCAGTCTTGAAAACAAACACTAAAAGTTCACTAGCTCATGCTGTTTTCGGATAACCTTGCTTTACCCTTAAAACCAGTGAAATGGAGGCAATGCTTCAGGAGAGCTCATTCTTTCTAGGAAAGGAATGGATATTTTCTTTAGATTGTCCATCCATAGACTCACTGATTTCGCAACAATAATGTAGAGGGAAAAAGAAATGAACTAATGAAAGGAATTAGGAGTATGTATGGCCAAGAGCACAGAGGTGGAAACAATGACCTCAATTCCAGGTGAAATTACGAACATGTGGAGAAAAACAAAATTTAGCTTGGGAAAAAAAAAATTCTGGGAAAAATACTCTGAAAGAAGTGTTTTATAGAAAAAAAAAATAATTGTGACGTTTTCAGTTTGTTATGGATTGCTTCAAATAAATTTTAAAGAAACAGCAATGAGCTAAGGAGCCCTGGTGGCACAGTGGTTAAATGCTCGGCTACTAACCGAAAGGTCAGCAGTTTGAACCCTCCAGCTGGAGAAAGATGTGGTGGTCTACTTCTGCAAAGATTTACAGCCTTAGAAACCCTATGGGCAGCTCTACTCTATACGGTAGGGTTGCTATGAGTCAGAATCAACTCAATGGCAGTGGGTTTGGTTTGGGTTTGGGATACCATGATTTTGAAGTGGAAGGAAGATGGGGCAATCTACTTGCATAACGACTTACTGCCTTGGAAACCCAGTGGGGGTTGCTATGAGACAGAATCAACTAGATGGCAGTGAGTTTGGTTGTTTTTTGGTTTTGTTTTTCAGTTTGGGGACATTTAGCCTGACAGTATCATAGATATTAGGTTGAACCATAGGAAACTGCCACTTCTGTAGGTCAAATGATCAGTTTTATAGGTACAGAAAATTTACAGGTATAGAAAATGGCAACAAAATGAGGAATGCCCAAGAAAGCTGGCAAAAGAAAGTTATCAGGAGAGAAGGCACAAGGAAGGAATTGCATGGATGTGGGACTGGCAAATTCTCACCTACTCCTTCATATTTCAGCATGTAATCACCTCTCCAGGGAGTCTTTGCCAGCCCTGATTAGCTTGGTTCCCACTGTCCCTTCTAAGAACGTCTCCCTTCAGAGCTTTTTCAGGTGAGACCCATCACAACTAGCTGGAACCCTCTGGGCTTTGTTGCTATTCCCTTTTATCTACCCCAGTGCTTGACACATTACTGATATTGTTGGTTCCCTTCCAGTTGATTCTGATGCATGGTGACCCCATGTATTAAGAGACTAGAACTGCTCCATAGGGTTTTGTGGGCTATAATCTTAGTGGAAGAAGGGTGTTGGTCCCTTTCTTCTGCAGTGCTGCTAGTTGGATTCCAACTGCCAGCCTTTAGATTAGTGACCTAGTGCAAACCATTTGGGCCATCTGCAGACTTTTGTTTGATACATGTTGCTGCTGTTGTTATATGCCATTGAGTCGGACTCGACTCATAGCGACCCCTCCTTGGGTTTCCGAGGCAGTATCACTGTGGAAGTAGATTGTCCCATCTTCCTTCCAAGAAGTGGCTGGTGGGTTTGAACCGCCAGCCTTCTGGTTAGCAGTCAAGTGCCTAGGCACTACGCCACCAGTCTGTTTGATACATAGCAGGCCTTTAATACATCTCTAGTGAATGAATGAATGAGTAAACGAGAGAATAAATATGAAAAGCAATTTATTTTGCATAATTGTTATAGTAACAATTATCTACAAAATCTTACAGAAAAGCATTGTAGTTTTAAGATTCTTTTACTTAGTCAGCAAAAATCTAGAAACTTCTAACACTTGAAGCCTTGTGTCTGTATAATATTTAGTCATGGTTGGTAATGCTATATTGCCCTGATATTCATAATTCATAGGCGCCAATTGCTCAGAGTTCCAACCCCACACTTGACTCCAAGCTAGGGTTGCCACATTTAACTTTGGGATATCTGCCATATTTAAACTCTCGTGTTTTACCATGAAGTAATTCATCTTTGTGTGATTTACCAAATAATTTACATTAAAATTCTAAGATGGCACTTTATATGGTACAAAATATAACCTATAATTAAGGTAACTAATATAGAACTCTGGTAGCATAGTGGCTAAAGCACTTGACTGCTAACCAGAAAGCTGGTGGTTCAAACCCACCAGCCACTCCTCGGAAGGAAGGTTGGGCAATCCTACTTCCGCAGTGATACTGCCCCGGAAACCCAAGGAGGGGTTGCTATGAGTCGGGGCTAACTCGACGGCACATAACAACAACAACAACAATATAGACTCAAAGACAAAAGTTACCAAATTTGGCAACAGAGACTAGGGTCATCATTGTTGTTGTTAGGTGCCACTGAGTAGGTGACCGTATGCACACCAGAATGAAACACTGCTCGGTGCTGCACCATCCTCACAATTGTTGCTATGCTTGAGTCCACTGTTGCATTGTTTCAGGCACAGTGCCAATCCATCTCCTTGAGGGTCTTCCTTTTTTTTTTTGCTGACCCTCTATTTTACCAAGCTTACTTCTCCAGGGGCTGGTCCCTCCTGATAACATGACCAAAGTATGAGAGACTAAGTCTTGTCACCCTGACTTCTAAGGAGCATTTTGGCTGTACTTCTTCGAAGACAGATATGTTTGTTCTTCTGGCAGTCATGGTAGATTCAACACTCTTCACCAACACCATAATTCAAATGCATCAACTCTTCTTTCTGCTTCCTTATTCATTGTCCAGCTTTCTCATGCATATGAGGCTACTGAAGAGACAATGGCTTGGGACAATCCCATTTTGGTTTTCAAAGTGACATCTTTGCTCTGGACACTTCAAAGAAGTTTTTTGCAGCAGATTTGCCTAATTCAATACATCATTTGATTTCTTGACTGCTGCTTCCACGGGGATTGGTTATGGATTCAAGTAAAATGAAATCATTGACAACTTCAATCTTTTCTCCATTTGTCATTATATTGCTTATTGTTGAAGTTGTGAGGATTTTTGTTTTCTTTATGTTGAGGTGTAACCCTTACTGAAAGCTATAGTCTTTGATCTTCATTAGTAAGTGCTTCAAATCTTCTTAACTTTCAGGAATTAAGTTGTGTCATTTGCATATTGCAGGCTGTTAATAACTTTTTCTCCAATCGTGATGCCATGTTCTTCTTCATAGAGTCTTGGCTCTTGGATTATTTGCTCAGCATACAGACTGAGTAATTGTGGTGAAAGAATACAACCTTGATGCACTCCTTTCTTGATTTTAAACCACGCAGTATTCCCTTGTACTGTTTGAATGACGGGCGCTCTGGTGGCATAGTGCCTCAGGCATTTGACTGCTAACCAGAAGGTTGGAAGGAAGATTGGGCAATCTACTTCAGTAGTGATACTGCCTCAGAAACCCAAGGAGGGGTCACTATGAGTCAGGTCCAACTCAACGGCAGTGTATTTGGTTTGGTTTGGTTTTAATGACTGCCTCTTGGTCTATGTATAGGTTCCTCTTGAGCACAATTAAGTGTTCTGGAATTCCCATTCTTTGCAATATTATCATACTTTGTTATGATACACACAGTCAAATGCCTTTGCACAGTCAATAAAACACAAGTAAACATCTTTGTGGTATTCTTTGCATTTAGCCAGAATCCATCTGATACCAGCAGTGCTATCTCTTGTTCAATGTCTTCTGAATCTGGCTTGAATTTCTGGCATTGAAAGTGGGCTCCAGTCTGAAAATAATCCCACATCTCTTCAATGATACAGTATTACATAACATTGACTCAGCTTTGACTCTGAAGCCTTAGACATTTTTTAAAAAGCTCCAAATGTGGAATTTTCTAATCCAGTAGCTATGTTTACAGAGGAGTTAAAGATTGATGAAAGTTGAGGCTCTGTTTCTGGCAACCTTGTGACACCAAACTCTAGGTGAGGGAAAGAAAGGCCTTGGAACATCTGTGTGACCTGATAACCAGCATATGAGCCAAATAGACTCATTTACTTAACCTTCATGGACCTTGGCCTAGCCTCCTTATCCAACTCAACCTACAGCCAGAGCAATCAACAGGAGGGGAGACATGCTTCCCTGAGGATGCCACACTGCCCTGAGCAGAAGAACAATGCTATGATCCAGGGCTTATTATCACTGCACACTTTCCACAGCAACTGCTCTGCCAAATGTGAGGGGTCCTGCTCACCTGCAATTAATTACAGTCAGCCCTCCTCCATTATGTAGGGAGCTGGCATGCTCTCTGAGTTAGAATAACAAGCATCTGAAGGTTTTACAGAAATATTTAGTGTTGAATACTTTCTAATTTTTGGTATTCAATCTCCCACAGAACCTGTGAAAGATTGAACTATTTTTTCACAAAAAAGAGAGCCGAAGCAATCTGCCCAGAGTCACACAGTGGGTAAGTGGCAGAGCCGAGTCCATGCAAAGAAGTCCATCTTACCAGACACTGAACCTAGCATTGATCTAGTAAATGGTCAAGAATGGCC